ATAATGTTGTTAACGTTAATAATTTGAAGCCTATTTCTGTGTGGTTTCTCTGAGTCTTTTTTGAATTAATCTCAGGATACGGGCTCAGATTTCAGGTGTGCAAATCAAATGACCATCTGTTCAAAATGTGACGCCACAGAAAGGCTTTGATATTGGTCTTCAAACAGAAAAATGTTTACAGCACTTCTGTGCAACATGCTGCTAAACCTGTGCCAAGTAATAATACAAAAGGGGATTGCTCTGCCTCGTGTTTTCTTAATGAGAAATGTAACATGGACTCATTGCATTTCATGCTATGAATTTGAGAGTATTTTATTTCAAGGAGTATAGACTAACTTAATACTGATTGTGTTGGCCCTTACTATGGACAATGCTTTTAGTTTACTTCATTAGGAAGGACAATGTCATATAAGGATGGGTAAAATGATGCAGAACACAGCGTTATATACAGTGAACAGTCAATCTTTTACTGTCCAGAAAATCTTCATAACTTGTAAGGCCTATATAAATTGGATATACGCTATAAGTCCAGTCAACTCTTTTGCTTTCAGGAATTTAGGAAACAGTTCTGTCCTGTTGAAAAAACAGTGAACTACCAACTAATTTTAAAGAGCCTAGAATCTAAACTTTATCAATTCATATAAATATCAACTCAGTTGTATTTTCTCTGCCTTGCACCTGTGCTTATGCTACACCTTCTATAGAGGACATTGTATGTTTTCTTTCCAGTATATCTGTTTCTTGCTTGTCTGTCCATATCTATCTCACTTATATCTGTTTTGTTCTTGGCAACACTGAGACCTTTTCCTGAGAATGTCTTGGTAGAGCTATAAGAAGTGTGGTGGGCTGCCTGAATTATAGGGGAAATGGCTTTTGGTGCCATGGAATTTCTGAAGAAGGTGCTTTGAAGGGAACTGGAGAGTTGTCCTGAATTAGTAAGGAGAACAGGAGAAAGAAAAAGATAGAACATGGAATGATGCAGGAAGTTAATGTGGAAAGGAAGTCCCTACTTGTTCTAAAACAGCCTTTGTTATATCACTGTATGTTGGGTTTAAGGATTAGCATTGGAGAGGAGAATCAGTATGTTGCTTGTAGGCTTTACAGGACAGTTTTATTAATACATGCATTGGTTTAAAGTTTGTACGTCATCACATCTTTTGCAGCTTCCCCAGCATACAAATCCCAAAAGAACTCACATACAGGTTTCTCCATCTTTGTTCCACTATATCCCAATTACTCCTTTGAAGTCCGTAGGTGTTGTGTGTGTACAACTGAAAATACGTTTTGGTTCCTACAACTCTAACCACACTGAATGTGGCACTGCTGTATTCTAAACATGGATCACAGTTCTGTCAGACTCAATCTTCCTTCCAAAACTTCTGAGTGACACATGAATTTAAACTATTATTTGAGGTAGAATTTATGTACTCATTCTGAACTTAAACTATTTAAATTGGCTTCCACATGACAACACAAAACATGCTTTAAATCAGCCTAAGTGACAAAAATGAGTTTCTCTAGAGAAAGGAAATATTAAATGTTTTGAAACTTGTGGAGCTGGCCTTATCTTACCTTGTGTCCAACTTGCATTTTAGGGACAAAGGATGTAGTCAATGCCTTGTGCTATCAACTAGATTCAGTACAGTCAGCTTGGATTACAAGAGTCCTGAGGCTGAGCAATACTTCCACAGACATAGGAATCAGGAGAGTTCATTGGTGGCTGGAAACCAGCTGTTTCCCCAAGGTATTCTCTTGAACACAGATGGCCAGAACTGAGGACTGAGCTTCTGGAGTTTTTTTGTGAGTTTGCTCTGAAATCAAAATTGCTTTATGATGCTAACTGGGAGGTTATAGATTCTGTGACCACTAATGTGTCACTATATCATAACTAATTTCTTTAGTATGGGCTATCATACATAGCATCCAAAACTGCTGTAGAAAATAAGGCAATCCCTACTGCCCTTTAACATTATTATTATTGCAGTTACTTGAAACCTCTTAAGTTTTTGGTATAATTAGTGGTATAAAGAGGTTTCCACAACAGCCCTCCTCTGTTCCCTGTTACTGTGTAATCATAATAAACATATTTAGTAATTTTTTTCAAGCTCTAACAACTATGATTTAGTCTTTTGGTTCAAGAATTCAACATGATTTGCCTTATGTCCCATAATGCAAACAACTATTTGGACCCTACACATTTGAACTCTTAACACTTTCACAAGCATGTGAAAACTTGAGGTCTGGTTGATTTCTGGTTTTCTGTGGTTTAAGGGCTCCTGCATGGCTCTGTCGCTCCTTCATAAACTGTGGAAAGTTAAAAGGCCAGTTGATCTTTCACATACCTCCGGTGAAAGCTGTCCATTTCCCAGCAGCAACCTCCTTTGAAAGCAGCTGCCATTTTAATTTTTTGGCTGCATAATCAAGTCTCACAAATCAACTGGGAGAAATTAAATGTGAAGCATTACTGTGGAGTTCCACAAATGCCGAAAAAAGGGTTTTGTTTATGAGAAAGGGATTTTCCAACCACCAGTCATTTTAACGAGGCATAGTCCTTTTATGTTTTCTCAAGTGAAACTTCATAAAAGGTGCAATAAAAGGCATGTGTAGATACAGGTGAGACTGAGCACAAGTGAATTTTTGGCCATTAACAATTCCTGGGTCTCAAATATCTTTTTGGGTCATCTTTTTTTCATGCAAGTGTATAGCTTACAAGAGTAATGAAGAATGGACACTGTGAGGCACCAAGAGGAGGTACAGAGTATAAACTAATAAAGTGTGCTTTAGTATTTTCCTTCTAGTGTATGCTCTCCCAAGTGAATGGGCACTTGACCCCATTAACATAAGGCCAATACTCTAAAATTATATGTTACCTAGGCTTGTTATGGTCTGAATTCTTAAGAGTCACAGGATAATCCGCATTTGATTTGACTTATCATAGGAGATATATAACGTTTATTTGACACCTTTTATCTCAAGAGAACATGCACTGACCTGGTGTCCAGGATTTCTGACTTCAGTAGTCAGGAGCTCCTGACATTTCTGTGGAGTTTAGAGACCCTTTGATTGACAAAGGCTGATATCTGTACCCATCAATTATTTATTCACTGCTTCTCTGTTTCTCTGAGAAGTTTTACTCGTGTCTTAATCAGAAAGCTACATGATTACTCATAATACTGAGATAATTCTGGCTGTCTTGCTCTAATTGCTCTCTAATTGGGACACTTCTGAATGAAGTATAGATGTACCCAGGGTTCCTACTTCCTACCAGGGTTTCCCACGCTGGGCCTGTCTAGTTTATATAATCCCCAAAGTGTTAAACTCTCGTTTAATGGTTACTCCACAAAAAGGTACCTCTCTCTGAGTGCTGCCTGCCCACAGCCACGCACCTGAGCCACACCCGCTTAGTGCCGACAGGCCTTGCATTCCTCGGAGTCAAAAGCACTGGTAACTGCAGAGGGCTGTCCCAGGGCAGGCAGGCTGCTCGGTCACGGGTGGGGCCATGAGGACTGACACAGGTTTTCACAGGCCCTATCCCGGTAAAGCACGCCGAGGGGATATTCCAGCCCAGTATTCCGAGGGGACATTCCCGCCCAGCCTTCCTCCCGCTTCCCAGGGCGGTCACGCTGCCGGCGCCCCTGGCGCGGCCTCGCCCGCCCCCTGGCGGCCGGGGCGGTGCGTGCAGGCGCCGCTCTGGGTCCGGGCCGGCGCTGCCCCGGGCGGACCCCCCGGCACCGGCACCGGCACCGGCGCTGCTGCCGTGCCCGCGGAACAGCCCGTGAGGAAAGGTAAAGGCCTTCAGCTAGGAGATATTTCTGGGATCCTTCTCCGGCCTGACGCCAGTTAAGTGGAAAATGCATCTTCTGCAGCTTAAACTGGGCTGAGGGGAGAATGGGCAGTAAGGGCTGCCTTGTGTGACGGCTCTGGAAGGAAAATTGTAATTATGTGGAATAACGTGATGAATGTTTTATAATGGTACAAAATTAGTGAGCTTTATTGATTCGTCTGTAATGTACATACTGTGTTATAAATCATTAATTTGACTGAGAATTTTAGAGTTTCTTACCTTTTAAGCTCTTGTTCTATTGGCTCCCAAACACTTGCATATTGACGAATGAATAGCATTGATTTTCCTCGAGTAGATTGACTGCTTAGATGCAAAAAATTCTCATTTTTTTCCCTATGGACTATAGCAAAGGAAGAACTGCAGCTTTGATCTCACTGACTGGCAGCCTCTTCTATTCCTCTGGCATGCACTTCAATTTTTTTTTTGAGGCAAAATGAAAGAATTCCCTTTTTTGGCATTCTCCTCTGCTATGCCAATTTCTTAGCAGTATCCGTTTAGCAAAAGGGATTTTTAGATACATTTCCTTAGATTTTACATCATACTGTTTAGTATCCCAATGTTAACATTTATTTCTGCTAAAGTGCTAAAGAAGCTGTAGCAGCAATGCAGCCAATTAAAAGGCAGATGTGAAATGTGAAGTAGCACATGTCTGTAAGAAAATTACACTTGGTACAGCCAAAGAAATTTCAACAGAGGGCAGAGAAGATAGCCCATGGAGGACTGTGAAAGGCACTGGCAGATGCTCACCGTCTGAATTAATCATTTGTCCCCACACTGTAGAGCAGAGAGGAGTTATAAGCCTGAAGGAAGGCACAGTTTGAGTTTTACTTTGCTATCATACACATGAAACCCCAAACATCCTGCTGAGATTTGTACAGCTTCCTACCCTTCTCCCATGGTACTCAAGGCAAGTTGTAAGCAGAAGCTTATGGTCATGCACTGATTACTTGGGAAGATATTATCTAGATCCTGAAATATTTTATAGGAAATATTTCATGTAGAAATTTGCAAAACAGGGAGACCTGCTGCTCTGCATTCCTTCTTCCGTTCATCAGTTCTTAAATCATACATTAGCATCATTAAAAATCCTGCACTTTGCAGGCCACACTATGAGAACAGGAGGGTGTGGGTAATTCTCATTGTACAGTAGACTCACCTTTCTCATGCTCTGTCTTGGGTTCCTTCCAAGTGCTAAATCCTGTTCACAGGCTATACTGCCCAGCTCATTTTTCACCTACAATAAACAAGAAGCCTTAGGACACAATTTCATTTGCAATGACAGTATGGACAGCAGGCTGGAGGAAGCCTTCAGGAAAAATCCTGGAATGTGGACTGCGCCTTCCTTTTGCTCACCGTGTGTTTACTGCTGGGGGCACAGACACACAGGGATCTGGAGTGCTGGTAGAATACTCCTGAGCTGACTATTTTAATTAAAAAGCTTGTACTTCCCCCCCATTTCAAACCCAGTCAAGGACATCTCTGGTGAAGCAAGGGCAGGGACCAGTGTGCGGGCACTGGGGAGCTCGCGAAAGCCAGAGGGGGACGACAACACCTCTCAAGAGGGGAGTGACTTCTTTCCGCCCCCTCCCCGGGCCGCTCCCCCCCCGGCTGCGAGGGCGCAGGGCGGGGGTGCCTCGGCGGCTCCGGTCGCAGCGCGGCCGCGGTCGGGAGGGCGGCGGGCGGACCCGCACCCGCACCGCGGCTGCGGCGGGGCCTGGGCGAGCCCATCGCGCCGTGCGTGGAGGGAGGGAGCGAGCGAGGGAGGGAGGACGGACGGACCGACCGACCGGCGGGCGAGCGGGGGGAGCCGCAGCCAGCCGGGTGCGCGGCGACCTGAGCCCTGTCCAACATGGTCGCCGCTCACACCTCCCATTCCGCGTCCTCCGGCGAGTGGATCGCGTGCCTGGATAAAAGGTATCGACATCCTCACGGGAGCGGCTGCGGAGGGATGCTGCGTGTATGTGTACATGTCTGTGTGTGTCTCTGTGTGTGAGTGCGTGTGCGCGCTGACACCCCCTCCCCGCTCCCCATCAGATCCTGCCTTACATAAGGAGCGTGCAGGTGGGAAGCAAAACGCCCGGAGGAAGCCGGGGCGGCGGGGCAGGGGGAGGGCTGGAAATGCACCGGGCAGCGGAGGGGATGGGCAGTGCCCGCTGGGATTGCTGCTCCCCGCCGGGAAAATGCTGCACGTGGTGGAGGAGAGGGAGCTCCGGGGCGGGGAGAGGGCCTGGGGCTGCCGGGCTGGGACCCGCCGTGCCGGCCACGGCAGACTCGCCACATTCAGCCCCAGTCCAACCTCCACCCCGGCGGCCCGGCCGCTGCCGCCCGCACCTCCCCTCCCCTCGGCGCACCGGCCCCGCCTCGCCTCCCCTCAGCACACCGCCCCCGCCTCGCCTCAGCCACTTCGCAGCCTCCGCCCTGCAAGGCGGAGCGGTCGGTCGGGCGATGAGGGACTTTTGCTTCGGTGGCAGCGGCCACTTCTCCTCGCTGCGGCGTCCTGGGGGCCCGCGGTTGTGCCCCCGGCACCGCGTGGGTGAGAGCCACGGATGGGCTGACGTGTGCTCAGAGGTGGTGTGCGCGCTGCTAAAAATACTGTCAAATTCATTATTAAAAAAAATAATTAAAAATTCTTTGGAGTGCTTTCCCTCGGGTGCTGCAGCCAAAAGTCTCGCAGCGTCGAGTTGTGTGGTGGGTGGTTTGAACGCCCTTTTGCTCTATTCCTACCTTCACCAATTCCTGGATTAGTTCAGAAGTCATTTGATTTCCGAGTGCTCACTGTGTCTCCTGTAGTCTAGGAAAATCATTAACAAAAATTTAGACCATAAATACACTATACGATTCAAACAAAGCTTACGTGGTGTATGGCACTTTACTGAGCATCACGAGCCAGCTTTTGACAGGTGGTGCCATTTGGGGCTCTGCTGTGGAGAGAAGCTTTTGTGCACATACAAGGAACATTCCCCTTCTCGTATTTTCTTCCATTTCCAGGTAACCTCCTAGTGTTGTGGGCTGCACCTCTAATTAGGTGTTCCTTAATAGTCCAAGCAACAAACTGTAACAAGTTAATGAAACTTTTGGTCTAGACTCTACCACAGATATTGATTCCCCCTCTGTAACGTGTCTTAAGAGAAGACTAACCTCTTAGAGGTTAAATAATATGTTGAAAGTACTCTTAAATGTACAAGCAGAACTGCTGATGGTTATCTAGCCATATAGAAACCAAATAGAGGCAGAGGGCCTGATTGTCTGTAAGCTGACATTGAGCCGATGTGAAGAAGGAGAGGATGAGCCCCAGTACGTTTAGATAGGTGATCCAATCATTTCTGTTTTTGTAAATGCAATACATCATGAGATCTAAATTGTAAACTAATATTCAGGGTTCATGTCTAATGAAGTGCATAGCCTTGGGGAGTGGATGATGTATTTAGGAAACATATGTGAGGCATTTAATTTATAAATCTTGTCTGCCATTATTTTGTATGGAAATTAATATGCTGACCATTTCTGTAATGGGAATTTCATTAGAACTATTAAGATAAACGTTTTTCTTCACTTTTTGGTATTTGGAGTAAGCTAGTAGCACCGATTTGTTGAGTGGAAACAATCAGTTCCAAGCGCTTTTAAGAATTATGCCTTATCCTTTCTCAGAAGGCAGTCTGTATGTAGGACAAACCCATAACATGAGAGATTGTAGTTTTTTTCCTGGTCTCTGCTATGCTCTGCTTTGTGGTCGTAGGAAGTACACTTACTCATTTTATTCTGTTTTGCCATCTAAAAAACAGAGTTAAAGCCATGTGGGAAAAGTACTATAGGAATGCAAGTACTGTTAGATAAAACATTTTTGATTAATTTACACATTTGTATTTCTTGAGTATTTATTTTCTGTAGATAATGTATCAGTGTACATCATGTAGCATTTTCTATCCTAGGTGTGAGTTCTGTAAATACAAGATCATTTATTGAATCAATTCTCTATAGGATACCATGTGTTTTTATTAAATAATAAATATAGCTTTAGTATGTTTTCATTAATGAGTATATTTTCAGCAGGCAGACAGTTCTAAAACTAGCACGCTTTAGAATTTTGGGTGAGCCTCAGCAAAGACAATTAAAATGGCCTGTAATATGGATTATCCAATATAATTATTTGAAAAACAGAATGGAATTCTAAATGGAAATAGCAAAATACATCATGTACAGAAATTATGTATTTTGTATATGTTCTTCATGTTGTTCCCCAAGTCACGTATCAAACTGGAACTACTGGAATGACTAAGATCTAGAATAAGAGCACTATAAAAATGAAGAAACGCCAAAATATTTTGGGAAAAATGTTATTATTGTGTAGGGTGCTGTGGGCTGGGAATACCAGTGCTTTGGCCATGCATCTTCCAAGTGTGGTTACTAGCCACAAAAACCAAAGATCAGCACTTAAAAATCAAATAGCCAGGACAGTATTTGTAGATGAAGTTACAAGCACAAAGGTAAGGAACATCAGGAACAGAAAATTCAGAACACTGTTCTCCATCAAGAGTATTTTATTTTTGCAGGAGAGAGAGAGGATCAGTGGTGAGCAGCTGTACGTCCTGGTTATACCTGGAGATGTAAATAATTTTTCTGTTGAGTAAACCAGTCCTTTTATATTTGATGTAATATAAAATGCTCCCCTCATTTCTTAGGGAGCAGAAGCATCTCTACCATCTTAGCACTTTTCTGTATATCTGATCTGCACGTAATTAAAAAAGAGTTGCTGATTTATGCAAGTGTGTATTGTTAGCTTAAGAAGGTCTTCTCTATTCTCATGGTTTCTTTAACACCAAAAACCAACTAACCAGACTGAATGGTAGACAAAGTATTTTTTACATAACTCTTATTTCTCTGAACCTGATCATATTTATGAATTCAGTTAATTGTTTTAATTGGATTCAGATGCAAACTTTTTAGTGATGTACAGCATTCACAACAGCCAGAGATCCCAGGATTTCATACCTGCCTATAGCATCTTGTGTTTTTCTCTGAATTAAATGTAACTCTAAGTGCCTTAGCAGACTGGAGGAGCAGATCACACAGCAAAGCATGTAACTTCTCTAGCCTGTCGTGCTAAGTGTATTGTGATCTTTGCCTAGTAATTTATAAATTATTTAAATAGGAATGGGCTTTTTGAGGACATGTTGTGCATCCTAAGCTTTTATATCCTTGTTATCCTTGTAGACTTGCATCATTTATGTCTAACCAAACAGAAATAATGTATACTGTTTAGTATCTCAAATCTGTACTTTAAGCCAAGCTCCCATACGTTTGAATATAAGTTCAGACTGAAGCTGTGTAACACCAGCATATTTGAATCAGGTTTTGTTTTTTTGGTTCATTGTAACATGTATTTGAAATGCAAGTTACTTGTGTTTGCTTAGGAGTCAAAAAGGGACCCCTGGTGAGGATACAGGGCTATAGGCTATGGTATATAAGCTAGAATGAAGAACTGATATTCTGAAAGAATTGTTGTAAAATAAGTACAGAAAATGCTTGTCATCCTCTATAACCTGTAAATATGTCAAAGATAATGGTATATAGATTTATAATCAGGCAATATTATGAGTATTTTAGAGTTGCTTTATGATGCTCTTTTATTTTATAATATATTCTTATATGATTGGTAAAACATACACTGACTTCTATATAAATTTCTCCCTTGCTTTTTATTTGTGACAAATCCATAGAACTGTCACCGTTTTCATGTAGTTTGGCTTGGAACAAAGTCATGGACATACACTGCAGTTCTTGTTGGTCTGTGTGCTTGGCGTTTTCTCTCTGTAGAATGTGACTAAGCTGATATATGCTTGGATCAAGTCCGTGTGGGTACATATCAGCAGAAGGTGCTGCAGTGGATATGTAATCTCAGAGACAGAGCCATATAGACTTAGCCCAAGTGCTTTCTAGCACTCATCTGAAGGTGCAATCTTCTGAGAGTGATGAATAATAACAAATTTATCTTTCCACATCATGCAGTTAATTTTCTAGTCCAGTGCAAAGGTGCAGTCTTTGATGAATAATAAAAAAGCCCTTTTCCTTTCCATATCTCCTTAGAGAAACCAAAATAATTGTTAATATAGCGTGCTGCAAGCTTCTATGTCTGTGCATTTTATGGAATATATGAATTCAGATTAACTCACAGTGAGAGCAGGATTTTGAATTTTAAACAAATTCAAGCTGT